CAATAAAATAAAAAAGCAAAAATTAAACACACGCACACACCAAACTGGAAGGATTATATCTTAGTGTAGAATACTCTCCAATGTTATCACATCAAAACAGTATGATATTGATATAAATTTAGATGCATAGACCAATGAAGTTGGACAACGAGCTTAAACTGAGCCCTCACATCTCCAGGTGACTGCTCACTTCTTTGTATCACAAAGATACTTGTGATAATTACTGAGACCGTAAATCAGTTGAATATAGTGGTAAGCCTTGTGGAACAGAGTTAGTACATGTGATGCACCAATCCTGACACTGAGAATGTGTGTTCGTTGCTTTTCTTGTTGATGTTTCAACATAGCTGATAAAATACACTTTAAGGAAAGAAAGGAATTTCCATTAGCAGTCAATGGAGTGCACCCATCATGACACTTAAAGGTAAGAAGTGAACCACGAGATATGGTAACTGGATCATGATGAATATGGTCACAGTCTGTCTGCACTCAGGAAGCACAGATACACCATTGCTAGTCCTCAGTTTGTCAGCTTGGCTTCTTTTTATTTTCCTTGAAAATAGATACTTCAATACAATATATTCTGATTATGGTTTCCCCTCCCCAAACCAATCTCAGGTCATTCCTACTTCCCCACCTACCCAAATCTATACCCTTTCTTCCTCTCTCTCATTGGGATACAAAGAGGCATCCATAAAAATAAAAAAAATAAAGTTAGAAGAGTACCTTTGAGTACCATGAACACTGGTCAGTAGGGATGAAGACTTTATGTAGGCATCAGATCACTTCTCCGTGTTTAATGATTTGTGTAGGTGCTGGCTTCAGCAATAGACCTAACCATCAGTTTGTGGAGAGCAACCAATAGTCTTGGCAATAGCCTGGGTTGTTTGGGAGTTCCCATGGGGGAGTTCCCATGACCATGAATTAGATTAGATGTAATCCATTTCTGGAACTGGAGGCTTCATTTGGTGACAAGAAATTTTCAGTTTTGGTACTATCACCCCATCTTGCCCATTATTTGGCCATTCCATTTGGATCACTTTCATATGTGTTTTAGGAAGTTTCTTCTGTATTAGGATTCCATATGACCCCTCAAATGGTCCTTAGATGTTGCTGGTCCTCACCATATTCCTTCTCTCACTGACCTTCTTCCTCTTTCTCCCTGTTTGGTCCTCTAGTTCCAGTGACCCACCCAGCCCACATCCATCCATAACTATCTATTCTATATGCCCTTTCTAAGGTAATCCAACCCTTCCCTCATCCATGACACACTAGCTCCTAACACAATACCTAACCTCTGTAGTTATATAGATTATAGCCTGTTTATAGACTTAACAGCTAACATCCACACATAAGTGAGCATATATATCATATTGTCATTTGGGGTCTGGGTCCCCTCACTCAAGATGATTTTATTCCAACTGCATCTGCTTACCTGAGAATTTCATAATTTCATTTTTTTTAACAGTTTAGTGATAATCTATCGCTTGAATGTACCACATTTTCTTTTTCAATTCTTGTATGGATGGACATCTGGGCTGTTCTAACTTCTGGCTGTTATGAATAGAGCAGAAATGAACGTGGTTGAGCAAGTGTCTCTGTAGTAGGGATGTAGAACCCTTTAGGTTTATTTCCAAGAGTAGTATAGCTCAGCTTTGAGGTACATCAATTTCCATCTTCCTGAAGAACCTCCGCACTGATTTCGATAATAGGTGTACAAGTTTGCACTCCCATCAATAATGCATGTCTCTTATACCACAGTTTTCCATCACTAGCTGCCATTTGTTTTATTGATCTTGGACATTCTGACTGGTGTAAGATAAAAATCTCAAAGCGATTTTAATTTTCATTTTCCTGATGACTAAGGAGTTTAACATTTTATTAAGCCCTTCTTGGGCCTTTTGTGTATTATTTCTTTAGCCATTCAACTCCTGGGGGTGATGCAACCCACCTTCAGGTTAGGTCTTCCCTTTGAAAATAAAATCTCCCTGGAAACTCCCTTTCAGATAGGCTTATAGGTATTTCCCCTGTGTTATCAAAATCTAGTCAAGTTGAAAATGAATATTAACTATCCCAGAAAGCATGCTAAGGAAATGAAATCCTTAGGTCAAAGAGCTTTCCTCACTCCTGTGTTCCCTGAAGCTCTATCAAAGAATCCCATGCAAGTATCCTGATGTTCATCAGCAGATCAATAAAGAGAGTGTGAGACAAACACACAACACAAAATTTTAATCTTCTAAGTGAGTAAAGTGCTATCATTTGTGAAAACACTGAACGAGCAGTTTGATAAGGCTCAAACAGAGCAGCTTGATACTTTTCTTTCTATATAAATATTATTTGCTAAACATTGAATGCATTTGTATGTTGGACATTCTACTGTTGCAAATCACTCACTAATTATTTTGCCTCCTAACATTTCTGTCTTAATTAAAGTTGTAACAAGGAAGGGAGGTTTTCATAATTGTCTTGCCTTCATTCTGATAGTGAATTGGATTTGAATATGCAAACATAGCTATACCATTTGGTATTTAAAGGGAAGGCACACTTCTTTTTTAATTTAAATTAGAAACAAGCTTGTTTTACACGTCAAACCCAGTTCCTTCTCCCTTCCCTCCTCCTGGCCCCTAATGACCCCCATCCCATCCCCTTTCTTCTCCCCAGGGAGGGCGAGGCCTTCCATGGAGGATCTTCAAAGTCTGTCACATCATTTGGAGTAGGTCCTAAGCCCATCCACATGTGTCTAAGCTAAGAGAGTATCCCTCTATGTGGAATGGGCTTCCAAAGTCCATTCGTGTACTAGGGATAAATACTTATCCACTACCACCTTTATGGTGATCTTGACTGAATTTTGAATTGTGACCTCTTTTTATTCAAAAGAAAGATTGTACATTTCTTCCTCCAAAAATTGTTACAGTAGGTGAAGATTCTTATCCTGGTCCAAAATAAAATTCTATGAAACACAATAACAAAGTTGTTTATTAAATTATGAAATGTTAAAGAGAATACATTTCTGAAAATTTGTATTATTTGAGCAGTAGATCCCCCTTGACGTAATCATGTTCCAACACACTTTTTATGAAGAAAGGAAGATTTATTTCTATCTCTGCATGTATGTTGCAGTAGAATATCATTCAGCTTTGAGATTGCCCTGCCAAAGCCTGGCAGGCATCAGGGATAACAAACTAGCAGGTGTGACTATGATAATTAAAGATATTAATGGTGTTTGGATGCATTTCATGGCTCCTGTTATTTTTTATGACTTAGCGTATCCTGGATGGGACATTATTCTAAAGCAAGACTTTCTGCAAATCTTTTATTCTCATCAAGCATAGAGATGCATTGTTTGTCCATGCTTTCCTTACAGCAAATACTTGGTATTTTTCACTCTGGAAAAAAAACATTATTTAAGTAAATACTAGGAAAGCTTATTTCTCCAGGGACTTTAAAACCTGCTGGGATTCTAAGCCAGTGATCTAAAAATGCTAATATTTTTAAATATTCTGAATATATTTGAGTTTCATATTCTCAACACTTTATGGCTGTGTGGAATATTTAAGGAAATACAGGCCTGATATTAAATATATATCAGTATATTCCTAATAAATGTGAAATTTAGCAATGCAAGCATACTGAATAGTATCAATAAATGATGGTCTGGCATCAGTGAAGCTTATATATAAAACTAAGATTGCTTCAACTATTTCATGGCTTAAATTCTTTGTTGCCAACAAAATACTTACATATGGAACTAACTATGGAATCTGTCCATCAGAAGGCATTGTCTGGTTCTGCAGACATATACATTTTAAATGTATCATGCCCTTCCAGGTAATTATTTTGGCTTACCAATGGCCTTGAATTCTCTGTCTTATGGGACGGTGAGTATGATTAGTGGTATTTCCTTGACATCAGCATCCCCATAGTTCAAATTTATATTTAGAATTAACGACCGAATCAGTAGACCCGGTGTTCTTAAGCATTGCCTGTTTTATATATGTCATCACTATCAAATGGTTTAGCCTGAGTTTTCAGTAACAGATGAAGCTGTTATATTCATGGATTCGCTTAAGGACAGGGCACTTACAGGTAATGTAAGGCTCCAGCAGTCCTTTATGGAAAGCAAAGAAGATTAAGTAGTCAGTGCTATGAATCTTCTAGGAAGCAACACAGCTGCTGCAGCTCTTGAAGACTCCATCTGGAATCATTCTTATACCTCTCTACCTATATGACTAAGATATCTACATATTCTGGCTTCATCCCATCTCTCTGCAGCCTGCTGCCTTCTTCTGGATAATCATCTGAGCATACCATTTGACCTATCCCATCCTAAATGGTGTTCAACAGCATCTTCTACCCACTTGAGCCACAGAGTAGCTGATTCTCTCTGGGTTCCTTAGCTGAAACACCATAGAAAAGACAACAGATACTGCTATACGTTGGAGTCAAAACCTGGGGTAACTTTTACTGAGTTGTGGATTTTTCATGCATACTAGCTGGGATATAATGGTGATGGAAACTACCATGAAAGGATGGATGTTTATGGTAAAGCTGAATGCTGGCCTTGGACTTGTCTTCGAAACAACCCAAATTATTTATTTCACTGTGTTTGGAGCTATACCATTTACCTTGATCTTTGCCACCCTGATTAATATTTTTGTTATCTGTACCCCAAATTTGATTAGTTACATAATTAAAAAACAAATGTAGATTATTTGGTATTAAATAAAACGAACATGTATACATCTCACCAAAATAAAATTAAGTTTTTGAAAACTTACACGAGCTTTAATGTAATGAGCACTCTATAATAATACATATAATGAACAAATTGAACAAAGATCAAGGAAATTAAGGTTTTAGTTAATGAAAATGTAATCCTTTCTTTTTCAATATTTACATTAATACTGTAATAACTTCAGCATACCTCAAGATGATATGCAGTAAAAAAAACAGGGTAATATATTGAGAATGTATATCCATGATATTCTATTTGTTTTCAGATTAATTTTTTGAAGACTGAAGTGGAAAGAAAGAGCAAAATGATCCGAGACTTACAGAATGAGGTAATTTTCATGTTACAGGAAAACTGTATATTAATCAAAGATTACACACAAAAAAATTCACACAGGAATTTACCAGAAGTTTGGGGAATTTTAATGCTGAGTTGATCTTCAGCAACATAACAATGAAGAAGAAAAGGGTGCTAAGAGTTACTATCTCACAGCTGCAAGGTGCTTAGGAAATAAAAGGAATTTCACTACATGGATTTTTATTTTTCAAGATAATTGGAAACTACCTCCATTTTGAATATTAAATATGATTTTCAATTCGTAATTCTCTACATGCAGAGAACCCTCTGTTAAAGGGTATCATCCGATGTTTCAAACTGTCCTAAAATGATAAGAAATGATACATGTAGATATTTAGTTTTTAAGCAATCAGGTTTATGTTTCTTAAAAAGAGTGTATGAATGAAGCAAACACAAAAGAGCTAAATGCCAATGAACACTGCTGTAGAGAAAGCTCTAATAAATTAAAAACAAAACCCATTTCAGTTCAACTGTGTAAATATGTGGCTGTAAATCTCTCTAAGGTAATCATTCCATCTCCTTGCCTCAGTGAACACGGCGCTGTGGAGGGGATATGGTATTTCATAATGTAATGGAGTGCTTCAGGTCACTGTTCCTAATGGATTCCCACACTGCCCATAGATGAATAGGGGATAAGTTTCGTCTCACATACCCTCAAAGCCCAAGATGCTCCTGGGATATTTTAATAATATTTTCTCACCGTGCTCTAACTTTATTCCTGGTGACTTTCCTTTCTCAGGATGACTTTCGACCAGCCCATTATTATGCATAACTTTGTACCTAGCATTTAAAGCATACTATAAATCATCCACATTTCCCTAGGGCTACTGGGGAATGTACCAATGACAAAACATCTCAGCATGGCAGTACTTAGCTGCTCCAAAGAACTGGAGGCAACGTGTCAGAAAAACAAAATCAGTGAAGTTCAGGTCTACCTGAAGGTTTGGAATATTATCCCACCCTGTTTCCTCCTAGCATTTGCTGCCTTGGGGCAGTATCACTTTCTGACAGGGCTTGTGTGTTCATGGGGAAGCTTCTTGTGTCTAAGGTCATTATATAACATCTCCTTCCCGTGTAAGTATCCATTATGGATCTTTAGTTTCTTCTCTACTGTGTTACAACACTATTTCATTGTGATTACATGTCTAAAAATCCTAGTTCTAAATCAGTTCACATTCCGAGTTTCCAAGCAGATGTGAATACAGGATTGGAAGTCTTCAAACCGTTCTACTTGTTTTGGTATTTTGGTGGATTGACAAAAGTATCTTGGCAACTTTTAATAGATAAGATTAGTACTATTACTGTGTGTAAGCCTGGTGTCTTTGGAAAGGACTAAGGAATTTGAGCTTAGGGATAATCAACAAACACAGAAAATAATGCCTTTTTGTGGGTAAAATGGTTTCTAGTTGCTTATTCATGTGAAGGAAGTGGTTTATTTTGGTGGTTTTTTTTTTTTTTTTTTTGCTTCTGGGTGCAATTTCAAGCAAGTTAACTAGAAAATAATGAATTTTACTGTCTGAATCAAGGCTGGAAGTATCTGTTGTAAAGTCAATGTGATTGAAATTACCAAAGTGTAATACACAGAAAAATAAATATGAAACTACCTCTGTCATATACAGCCATAGAAAAGAACTTCACATTCATTAAGGGCATAGTATTTTGACGTGGAATTTCAGAGGTGAGGCTCTCTCACTGTAAGGCTCTCTCACTCTCTCAGTAGAGTTTACAGTCTGCCTTAGACACCCTTTTATTTCATGTTGTGAGCAACTAATTATACTATGCAAGTTATTACTGAAAATATTGATGAGATACTTACATTTGTGGATTTTTATAATCTCTCATACTGGAAGTTCATCTGTGTTCCCAGCCTTATATATCTGCACAAATTTTTCTTATCTGATGGAGGATTGTACATATAATTCTTCATAAAAGAGTAAATGTGCATTCTTGGTTTTTGTGTCATTTGTTACTTACTTTACCATTCATATACTTTGAACTGTTGGCATTTTAGAACATGTGAAAACAACACATGTTAGGCACTTGGAACTTGTTAAGACCCCAACAAAAGTAAGCAACTGCAATCGTATCATTATTAAATTTTGAGGTAATTAACCCATCAATCCCTATGCTTTGCTCAAGTATTTTCTTAGTAATGGTTAAGCTATCAAAATTCCATAAAAATGCAATTACAAGATATCATCCATATCCTCATGAGTCTCTCTACACATCAAAGGAAAGTCCCGGCCATCCAATTCACATCCCCCTCATCAAAGCACCTTGGACTAATGAGAATCCTCTTGGCTTGTTCTAACAGAAATCTCCAGAGAAAATTTTAAATTACTGACGTGCCTACAGTAATCCTTACAGTCAGGGAAAACGGTAGTTTACTTAGTCATGTCTTCTTCTTAGTTCTGTCCTCAGGTTGTGTAGGGTTCATTCAACTTAAACCAAATAGATTTCCCTTGAGAAATGAGGGTTCACTCTAGAAGATACCAGAGCAATAAAAGAAAATATATCTTGGAAAACACTGACACTTCTATTACCTCCTATCTTCCAAATTCTTTCCTTTGGTGAACATCAGACCACAGAGGATAAATCATAGTTTAATAACTTGGGATACCCACGTCAAGCAGAATACATCGAGGTAGTGTGTCTTCGTCAGCCCTGCTCCCTCATCTAGATTGGATTATGCAACCACTGAACTACTGGTTCATTCTCGTTCTACATATTTCAATAGTAATGGCACATTGCATAAAATCTACATATATATGCATATATATTATAGTGCCTTTATATTAAGAATTATTTTCTAAACTACAAAAATGAAGACAAAATTTTCAACATTGTATCCTCCATACATTTTCTAAACCATATTAGAGATTTGATAAATGCTTTCTGAATAATAATGTTTCTAACTAGACTGTATTTTTCACAATTTAACATTATGAAATTATGAGGATTATTTCCTTTCCTATTTCCCATATGCTTATATGTGGTATACACATGCACATACAAGTAAATACATATCAAAATAGATTTCAAATATATAGAGTAGCTCAAAATCATGAAAAATCAGCAATCAAAAAGTACATATTGATCAGTGCTACTGAAAATTACTCCTGTATTTTTAACAGTAAAGAGAGACTGATCTTATGTTGAGTTAATGATGTACTTCACTGAAAACAAAAAACTAACAAAATAGAAAAGAGGTTATAAAAATAATGGATGGAAGAGACAGAAGGAGGAAACAAAGAAGATAACATGGGAAATAAAAAAGCTTGATAAAAAAGAGGATTCCTCTAAAGATTTATTTATTTGTGTGTGTGTGAGTGTGATATGTATATGTGAGTGTGTGGTGTGTGTGTATGTGTGAGTGTGTGTGTGTGTGTGTGTGTCAGTCTGTCTGTCTGTCTCTCTGTGTGTGTGTGTGTGTGTGTGTGTGTGATAAACGCAGGTACCCATGGAGGCCTGAAGAAGGTTTGAGATGACTTGGAGCTGGAGGTAGTTATCGCCTACTCACTGTGGGTGCTAAGAAAAGAATTTATATCCTCTTCAATCCAGACACATTGTCTATTCACCAAGCAACAGTTCCAAGTCAGGAGTGAATTTTGCCAACATTAGTGAATTAATCACATTACCCTATGAATTTACTAGTAATGTAAGGGATTTAGATTTTAAAATCCTGATGGTTCCTTATATTTCAGCTGTAAGAGCCAATCATTTCAGATACTTCATTTATAGAAACAAGACTATATAGCTCAGTTGGTGATCTCTGAGTGGTAAACAAACAGTGTGAATTCCACTGAAGTGAATGACAATGTACATAATAAGCACTTGCCTAGATTACCCTAAATGGTATTTGGATTTACCTAAATCTTCTCTGAATATTCAAGAAATGCATCTGTTTCTTCATACTTTCATAAAATAAATGCCAAACTTACCCACCCTATTCTTAATTCATGTCTTATAAAAGTGAGCCATTGCAGTTATCAAGCTATTTTTATAATTTCATAATTTAACATTTATTTATGGTACTAAAGTATTAATTATTTTTACAAATCTGTACAGGTCTCTGATTTACCTCCAGTTAGTACACAGTATTGGAAATGTTTTCAAACAATTATTTAAAAATGTAAATTCTATGTTCCTTCTTCAAGATAGTGTGAACTATCAATACTTGGAAGGGGAAAAAAGCCTGAACTTAGGAATAGGAAAGCATAGTAGTTCTATCTATCTGTCATGTATCTGTCTGTCTGTATGTCTATCTGTCTATCAATCTATCTTTCTATATCTATCATCTATCTATGTAACATTTTTCATCATCATAATTATTTATACTGTGATATATCCATTTAAGTTTCTGTGATATATCTATTTAAATGTTACTTAAACAGAGGCACTAATGCCAGTCACACACCTCTTTTGAGGGTAAAATCGTACAGTTAACAAGGACAATTGCCATTGTTCCCTTCCTTTTTTTTCCTAATTAATGTAAAGTGTGATTGCATGGATCTCTAGGTATTAACAATTATGTTACCAGTTACATACTCCACAACTAAAACTTGTTTAATAATAATACACACATTTGCCTGAAACATGGCCCAAAACAATATGCCACAGTTAGCTATAAAAATATTTATTCATGCAATAATTAAGAATTTTAAGATGATGAGATTATTCTGAATGACATTGAGAGTGATTCAAATCGTTAACAAATGTCTTTATGGTAAACAAGCAGCGATTAAAAAAGATAACTCTGCAGATGAAGGCACCTTCATGCTGATGATTTGAGTTCTATCCATGGACCCACAATGTCGAAAGAGAAGAACCCCCTCTAGACAGTTGCTCCCTGACCTACACAATGGCATGCTCCATTCCCTGCACATGTGAACATACAAACTGAGCAGGGCAGGGGAGAGAGTGTGAGAGAGGAAAGGAGAGAGAGGAGGGGAAGAGAGATCTGACTCATGCACA